TAATAAGTATGACAAGGTAACTTTTCGCAAAAATCTGCTGATGACTTTGTTGTTGTGAATCGATAATCGATTAATTATATTTAAGTAGTTTCTTTCCCGTACGCAATGCGAGATCCCGCGTGAGCCCAAAATAGCCCAGAAATCATTCCTGTACTCAACAAAATGGGTAATAGAGAGCGAAAATTCGAGCGTATTCGATCGTAAGTGTATTCTTCTTCCTGCCCGAAACAGCCCGGAATTTTTCTCCGAGTAAAAATGGATAAAGTGTCAAAGTGCATATCAGCTGTATTGTGTTTACATGTTGCCTGCATTTACTTTACTACTTAACAAGAATTTTAGCAAAATGTTGCTGATTTTGGTTAAATAAATCATTTATTTCAAAGAAATTTTTATTTATTATTTTTGTAAATTTCTGGAAACCGATTGAAACCTGTGATTGAAATGGTTTCGGTATCATTCCTTTTCAGGTCAAGATAACGGTTACGGTTTCGGTTTCGGTTTTGAAAAACGAAACGGTTTTAAACGGTTACGGTTTCGGTTTGGGTTTCGGTTTCATTCCTTGGTTTAAACTCATTTGCCAAAGCTTAAAGCTATTTGCTAAAAGTTAAAATCCATTTGCCCAGAGTTTAATTTTGTTTGCCAAAAGTTTAACTTAATGTGACAATCCTACATTAGATATATACATGCAAACAAATTTATTTTTTTATATTGTACTTACTATTCAACATAGACGACGGCCCAATACCACCGGTCACTATCACAACATTGCCGCTGACCACAGTGCCGCCACCTTTCCCACTTTCGTTGCCACTGCTACGGCTACCGCCCCTGCTGGTAACACTAGCGGATGCTGTAGTATAACCACCTCCTTCTTTTTCATAGTTATCGCTGACAGAGTTGTTGCCTGACACAATAATTTTGCTTGTTGAGCCTCCCGCCATTGCCGGGAGCACTAGAAGGGCTCCGATGAAATACCAAGTGCTCATCAACTTGCTGATTTTTTGGCAGAGTCCGCACAGTACACCGATTCGTAGCAATACATACATTGGTGTTGGGTCATTACTCAACCTCGTGCTGACTTCCTTGTGTTGCCAATGATTTTTATACGACTCTCTCGTACTTTGTGATTAAGAAAATAATTGGGATAGTGTGCCTGTTGAGAAATATATATACTAACATTGTACAATATGTATGTATATGCACATATTTATTTACAGAAGTAGTTATACAATTTAGAAATGCCGCAAAGGGTGCCCAGAATTCGAGTTTTGCGAAGATTGTTTTCATAACCCGAAAAATTACTTCTAAAGCTGAGATCCCACGATTGCCGTAATACACCAATTATTGCCTCATTTCATGACCCAATCGTGTGATTTCACAATAAATTGACTCATGTGGCAAAAAAGGCCGATATTGTGCTTACTGTGCCTGGCTACGCGAGTATAGTCCAGCGAGTCACATCAGTATTTGAATTACGTTTTCGAATTGCACCTATGAATTGTATTGAATTGAATTGTATTTTAATGAATTTCACCTTTTTTGAATTTAAAATGTATATACATCCTACATATATAAACATGTTATGCGTGAATAACACCAGTTATGTTGTAAGGCGTTGGCAACGCGCTTGCGCGTACATCACAAAAAGCTGACAGGTGTGCAACCCTGTTATTTTTGCTTTGACAATCATTGTTTTTATTTTCTCTCACGTCGAATTGTGCGGTTGCCTTTGCCTCGAAACTTGGAATTCTTATCTATATATCTATATCGCTATATATTTCGCGAACGTTTACAAGCATTTAAAAAAATATAATTTGTGCACCATTTTTGAAATAAACGCTCGGTCCTGCGCGACGAAACACTTACCAAAATCCCGTCGTGTTTTCATTCGCAAAGTTTGTGTTTTACATAAGGGCCGACTCGTGTATTCCGCGTGGCCCCAGCAAACGGATATCGATCGCCGTAAATCCCGTAGCAACCGCCTTACCGCCAGCAAGCCAACCACATCGCCAGCAGTCACTTCATCGTCCGCAGCCTTTTCATCGCCGGCACCTATCTCCCATTCAGCGCACCACCGGCGCCAGCAGCTATACCGCCAGCAACTCCGCGTTCAACTCTACTCTCTACAGTCCATCGCAAGCAATTTAACAGAGACCTAACGAAGGTCATCACCCAGCCGCTGCATGTTGTCATCCAGCATCCCGAGATTCCCTAGGGCACAAACACTGGTCCTTCGTCGCCTAAAAAGAGCCAGCACCGAGGGAATACACCACCACTAAAGAAAAGGTATCCCTAAGAAATCGTAAGTAAGAATCTGAATTGCTTACTAACCCCATTTAATCATACAAAAAGTGATAACCAAAATCGCACATACATACATAAATTTTTGTTCTTCAAAGAAAAATCGCATAAATTTTATAAAAACGGTGCTTTCATTCCGCTACAAAAATTTTCTGTACATATATATGTACATTTCTTTTTCTCGATTTCCCGCCAAAATATTAAACGGTTCGCGATTAGCCGGTATATAATATATATATAAAACATACATATGTACATACACAGCTCTCGTAGTTACTCATTCCTTTCTTCTCCTTCTCAATGTAAAATAATAACTAACTACTGTGTATATGCACATACATATGTATGTTCACAGTGCATATTTATGCGAATGCCCGCTTAAAAAATTTTAAGAAAACCTATTCTCACATAAATGTATTTGAATCTGCTTCACGCAATATTTTATATAAAGTACAATTAAAGAAGTACTGGGCAAGTTTCCCCGGGAGTACATTATTAAAATACATATATATACTAACCCAATCTCAAGTACTAGTAGACATTCACATATACACTTTTACATAATTTTATATAAGTATTTACATAATACCATTAGTGCGGTACACACATAATTATATATATATATATATTACATTAGTGCAGCTCGGTGATAACCATAGGCGGGGCCAAAAAACATTTTTCTTTGTGGTAAAAGGTCACACCCAACGCCCTCCGGTATAATAATAAAGTGGATACAGTGGTACATACCACTAAAAAAATTAAAAATTTTTTAACACCACTTAATTTTTCCCGAACTATTCAAAAGATTAAGTAATCTTTAATTCTAAAAGAAAAAACTCTTTCCGTGATCCCAGCGACCATCCCCAGAGCGAAATTGTGGTTTGCAATTAATCGGCGAATAATACCCCATTAAAAAAAAAATAAAAATTTCTATACACATATAGATATCGAACCCCTCTCTTTGCGCTCACCCACAATAACTTTAATTTAGACCGGCAATACAATTTTTTTTCTCTACTCTCTTTGATCTCCGTCCCGTAAATAAAATTTAAAGTTATCTCGTTAATGCTTGCCGCACCTCATAGTGACGCTAAATCTAAAAGTTCAAAAATGAGTGATGATGAGAAGCAACAAGGAACTTCCGCTGAATCTCAACGAGGTACGCGTGCAAGCGGAAGGTCCAATAAGAAACCCAAGGAGTCAGTCGTTGCCCCTAAATTTATCTCTGAGACAGACAATTCAATGGATTACTGTACCCGATTCAGTACAACTCAAATCCAATGCTGAGTCAGCACTAAAAATTAAAGACAAGAACATTGATAATTTTTGGAATCGAGTCCAGAGCGCATATGATTTAGTAGTAGAGACTGAGGACCAAGACCTTCCTGAGGATTTCAAAGCCTCCGCGTATAATAAATACAGGTCATGTCTCATAACGTATGAAGATACGAAATCCCAGATTGGTGATCAACTCCTGCTTCTTAATCAAGCAAGAAATACCACGCCTACTCCCAGTATTTCTCAACCCCAGGAAAACTCTAGCTTCGGCTTAAAGGTCCCACCGTGCGATACGGAAACATTTTATGGGGGTTATGAGCAATGGCCGTATTTTCGTGACATGCTCACGACGGTATCACGGCGCACGGCAGTGCGCGCGAGTGACGAAAGCAGCAACAGTAGCATGCTGAAATGACTCGCTTATATATACCCGAGATTTGGAAGTTTTTATCCAGACGTCCAATCGACATGTTTGAGATATCGTTGAAAAGGTCTTGCAGAGTGTGTCCAGAAAATATATTCAAGCTTCGTAAACGACTAACCGGATTCTTAACAATTAGGCTAAAGTGTTGCGAAACAAATAAAGTTTTTTTCTTTTGCCGGTTTAAGGGGGCATGTGGGCACACCCAATATATTTAGTGTTATTTTATAGGCCAATACCTTTAAAACGGTACCTTACATATTAAGTTTCGGCTACTAGTTGGAAAGATATAGAGGTAAATGTGTTTTGGTTCATGTCTCCACTACGAGATGCTTTGGTATGTATGTGGCGTCTGTACGTACCCTCATTTAATTTTTTTCAAACTTTAAGGAATTAAAGTACACAAAAAAATAAGAAGGTTTTGTTCCAGGATGTTTTGATTCGTATGCCTGTGTGGGCGTGGCTGCTGCCTGAAATTCGAAAAACGGCAATTTTTTAAACTACCACTGAGGTCGCACTACTCAGTCCATGTCATTGATGTGATTCAGTAGAAGGGTCTTCAAACAAGCTATCTAACGCTATCTTTTGTGTTTATAAAATATAAATACGCCATAACGTTATCGCCTGAAAATTAAAAATCGGGCTGCTGAAAATAGAGATTTCTGGCATTTCCTCAAAAACTGGTCAGTCGATTCTATTCTATGTTTCCATGAGTCTAGCCCAAAACCTTAGCTTTCGTCTGGTATATAGCTTATATCTGGGAAAACTCTCGTTGTGGAGATATTGCGATTCAAATTGAAAAAATGTCGCTCCAAAAAGAGTCAAATGGTTAAAAATTAACATATCCATCTAATTTGGTTACTTTAAGATATAAAAATAACATACCCAGTTCCCCGAAAAAATCGCCCATTCCCCGATTGCTACTTAAACCGAAATTCCCAGCAAATCGGGGAATTACCCGCGAGTTGACAAGTTGAAGGATGCAGCTGTGCTAATCACTTCGTACATGCCTTGGAAACCACAATTTGTGTGTATTTTAGAGTTTTTTTCAGTCACATGCCGAAATTGTAACATTCTTCCCCATTTTAATTGTAGGTATGTACACAGTATTTAACTATGCTACATGGGTTTATCACCCGCACTTAACCTCCCTGGTATTTACCTATAGTTGTACATAAATATTTATGTATGAATGCATTTAGTTCACCCAGTGTGCCGCTACTACTTACATACATATGTATAAATTGCCACTGAGCAAAACTGCTTGAGAAAAAATCATTAGTTTAATAGCACGAGAGCAACACCGTACACGTGATAGAAGTAAAACTTCTTAAAAAAAGCACATGTGTGCGCCCCACACCCAGTAGAAATCTTAACAACAATTAAACTACGAGGCAATCAGGCAATCAGATGAATACAGTTGTTTATTGTATCCAAAGTTGGTACCAAGTTGATAAGTTTACATCATTTCTCATATTTATTTTTTATTTTTTCGAATACATTCATCCTTGATATCATCATATCCTTGATCATCCTTTTTCACTTTATTCCGTATTCGAAAAACTATGTGTTTCAATGGACACATCGATTTGAATACATAATTTAGATTTAGAGAATATTTTTAGCAATTTACTTGAGAAAAATAAAACATTTAGTTTATTGTTTGTATTTTCGTCGATTTTAAATTCGCTACCCCAAAATAATTGATATCAAATAAAACACCTCTTTGAGGTAAAATTTTCGAGTGACGAAAGCTGAACTAGAAACACAAAATTTATGATATCAATTTCGTGACGAAAATTATACGCATTTTTTAACTGC